TTAGCATTTAACAACAGTCAACAGTGAGCACAGGCTGCTCAGGGACCTGTATGAGTGGTTCCCTGTGGGTAGTGCCACGACAAAAATAACACTGGAGCTCAAAATTAACAGCCCAAAGGAAGCCAAGGAATATCCTCTGTATGCTTGCTGTGGGCCCTAGACTTGACCTCTGAAAGTGCTATTCACGTCACTACTAAGCGGTTCAAGTTTCTCTGCGTGCCTTGTGTTTGTGTAACGAAAACATTTTAACAGCTTAGCCCACACATGAGAGCTTCAATAAATATATTTGTTTTTGTGGAGAATATCTGAATAACGGTCATTTACAGTTAGTTTTACATGACATTGTCCCTTATTGCTGTCACAAAGGGTGCAAAGTTATTTTAAATTTATAACGGACCGCTTGTTATCAGTAAAAAAAAAAAAAAACTTTTACCTGTAAAAAGATTGAGAAAATTAAGTGTTAATCGGAGAAAATAAGACAAACTATTCAAACCACAAAAAATTAACAAGTAAAAGAATTATTGCATGCTACAAGAGGTTGAAGGCAGACAGTGTTTGTTTGGTAAGGCTGAGGAGTAACTAGCATGCAAACCTCCCCAGTAGATGTCTGCTTAGTCACTAGAGAGGTCAGCAAGATAAGGATCCAGAGCAAGACAAGATCCTGTCTGTAAGCTGGACAGTAAAGCAGCATTAGCAGGAAATCTAGTGCATTATACGGTCTGTGGCTCTGTCTGGCTTCAACGCTACGCAGAGCATCAGTCTCATGCATGTCTGATGGTTACATGGATACTGTGTCACTAGTAGTATTGGGTGTAACTTTTTACAAAATAAAATGTTAAGAGTTCTCAGATTACCTTTTTGTTCTAATGTTAATGACAAAAATATACAGTTAAAATGTTACAGCACTTCCTTTCATTGCCACAAAAAAGAAAGCTCAGACACATTTGCAATATTTGGGGCAGTTTTATGGTTGTCAGTGCACATGCTAAGGCTTTTATAAGGTATTTTCCTGTCCTGGGGTGTTAATAATTGCATGTGAGCTGCTAAGAGGCTCTATAATACATTTTGAATCCTAGCTCCATAACAAGGAGGAGAGTCATGTCAGTACTACACCTCCAAATCTAGCTTTGAGATTGGCTAGTCAGTATATTTAGACCATAGGCTGCAAAGGTCTTGAGCCAACCATTGCTCCAGATCACTTAAAAAAATACAACAGTCTGACTCTTTGGAAACAAAATATTTAAAAATGAGAGGTGGCTCAAGACTTTTGTAGAGAATTGTCTTGCAGACCATTTTAACATCCGTAATCTTGTAATGTAATGAATTTTAAATATTACCCTTAGTTGCTTCTAGTCATCCTTCCTACTAATCTTTCCTAGTGGCCACTCATGGTATTGCAATGCACAAATAATCCCTTACAGCAAACAGAGCTTTTTCCCAGTGGCTATAGTTCCCTATATGTTTAACCAAAGCAACGTTATGATATTGACCATTACACAGACTACAGACAATAACATATTGTGTTTTTCAATGGGGAAACAAGCAATTTGAGACTTTTATTAACCTTGAAAACCAATTAACTACAATAAAATGGAGAGATTTTTGGCACAGCTTACGGCAGCCTGGGCTTGAAAGTAATAATAGTCGTATTTTCACGCTAGAGTAAGTTAGCTAATTGGAAATCCAACAGAAATGGCTGCTGCAGACATTTGCTCAGAGCTGCAGAAAACGCAGGGTGGAAGAGGAATGTGAAGCAGTGTTAAGTGGTTGGAAACAAGCTCTCTCAAACAAGAAATCTCTGCACTTAATGTACCAGATTATTTATTAATGATCTTCCATCAAAGCCCCAAGAATTTATTATGAGTTTATATGGCAAAAAAAACAAACAAAATTGCTCTATACTCATCTGCTAGTACTCCAGGTTCACCTTTGGAAGACAAACATGCAGCTCTTCCCAGGGACCATTTCCTCTATTGTGTATGCCAGAAGCCCCCTCCCACACACTAAATCAAGAAGCTTGTATCACTCAGTTTGTTTAGCTCACACAAACATGGAAGACCCTTAGAAACCATGCAGCCTTTTCCTTCTATCCTTCGCAGAGCGCTGCAGTTCAAAATGCCAATCACTACACAGCAACAAAGCCGTCCTGAAGCTGCTCCCGACGACATTAGGCTGCGACACGTCCCATCAGGCACCTCAATTTAAACTGGAGATGAGAAATACATTTACCCATCATAATGTATGAGTGGAAAAATTACCTCAAAAGGTTTCATATCCCTGAAACTGAATCCAGAAGCTGAGGGGAGTGCTGCATATGTACATCACTGTGCTTTTGTGTAATACGATAGCTTCAGTCTTGAGTGAGCAGGGAAGAAAATATATAATATATAAAAGAGGTGGAGACTCAGTTTGAAACATGATAGGAAATCAATTTAAATACATCTGACAGACAGTGAAAGGTGCTGCAAGAAACCTGTGGTCATGAAGGTTTTTATAGAGGTCTGAGAGGTCTGCAGTGTCCCCAACAGGATGAGGAAGTAAACAGAGGAATCGATCAGGAGCTGCGTCCTGGTGATTTATGAGGGGTGACGCTTTACGAGAAACATCATTACGCTTGTGACTGTGAATCGGATGGCCTTTGCACTCACCAGAGAAGGTCACCTGGAGTTTACAGGATAAATTCTTCACAAAAAGCTCCAGTTTCAACACACGTATTATCACTACAAAAAAGCCACACGAGAGCTTCTTCTAAGGCCTGAAGAAATTTATTTTTCACAGTTCTCCATATGAATCGGCTACACTGCAAATGAGCTGCCACTAGCACAGCTTTCTAAATGCCATGGCTGTAGGAGAAGCTCTGCTATATCATGAAGACTGCAAAGGTTTGGGGAGCTTTGCTGCCAAGATCTTTGTCTCACCCACATTTAATAGTTGCTTTCTAGACGTGGGCAGTAAACACTCAGCATGGGTTAAATGTGATGAGCTGCACGACACTCCCATTGCACAATCGGCTCATGAATTTGGTGTAGGCCTGAGCCGCTGGAAGATGTCAGAGCGAAATGGCCTCAAAGACTCATCAGACAGCCCTGCCAACTGGCAGCTTCGATACGTTCACTGTCCAAAGTGTCTTGACGGCCGACATGCATGGGCAGGAAAGCAGATCCACTGTTTTACTAGGCTTACTTTCTGGCATTTCTCAACGTTATTTTACCTTTCCCATACTTAAGAATAAACATGTTCATATAATGTAAACTTGAACATTTAACATTTAACTAGGTGTGACATTCAGGGTGGAGCACTGCAGTAATGGGCTGTTTTTGTTTTTGAGGTGTGCGTGACAAATCTGAACATCTGTGAGATCATCACAGAGACAGCAAAGCAGAAATTAACTAGTGCTGCTATATTTCTGCTTAATATTTCTCTGATTTTTCTTGAAAACTGTTAAATAATGTTAATATACTTTCGTTAAAGTGATTTCTGACATGCAACTAGTAAAAGAAGCTCCTTCAAAGTTGCTGGTTTTGTACAAAATAATCCAAAGTTAAAGCACTTTTTAGTCATTTTTAATTAGAAATGTCTGTTTCTGTTGTTTATGTTAGCCCTTTTATGAAATATTAATCAGTGTTCATCTTGAAATGAGATCTAAAAATGTGTTTATTCCAAGAAGAAGAAGTTAACTTTGGGCCAAACATGTGCTTTGAAACGAATTTTTCTGCATCTTAAACTTATCACATTTTAAATGATCTGAAGTGACCAAAGCAACTTACTTAATATTTAACAGAATTCTTTTAGTTTTCCAAACATCCTCTTTCATTGGTCGTGGAGAGTTCAAATACTTAAGGCATGAGTTGAAATTGCACGTTTAAAAGCAGAGCAGCAAATAAAAGCGGCACATAAAATCTTTTGGCTCAACCTTTTGAATGAATTCAACTGCTGATATTTCCCAATCACCATAACAAAAGTGCTAAATTAGGCTAAACAACATTTAATAAACACAAGAAGTCATCTGAGAATACTCCACCTCGACATTGCAAAACCCACGGAGTTCAAACATATCTAGAAACTCATCTGTTAAAAACCCAGTCAGCTTCAGATTGGGAGTTACCTCTGCTCTGTCACCTCCCTTGTAATGACTCGAATGCATCTTTCCTCAGCAGAATATAGTCCGCCAATTGTGGCCATCGTCATCACATCCTCCTCCTACACACCACCATCATCACAACCATCATTCATCATCATCATGATCCCTTTCACTGTCCAGCCCACAAACTTCCAACATGTCCAAATCTGCCCCTTATGTAACCATGCAGATGATTTAGCAACCAGTGGCCGTCGCTTACATCAAAGCCTCGGTGCTGAATGGAGCTGATTCTTTTTCTTATTCCGTTTAATTAATGTAAAAAATCTAAACAAACGCCTGACTGCGTCTCATCCCTTCCTATGAGGTATCAGTCATTAGTAGGTGTATAGATTACATGTAAAATCTAAATTGACCATGCATGCATCTTAAAATGTAACCTCTGAATTCATTTACCAACAGTGTTATCGTTTCTGCGCGTGTGAAAAGATCCTAAAACCACCTGAAAACGGGACAGGGGTGAGTGCGAATGTCTCATTAGACGGAACTAATATATAAATTTGATACAAATAATCACGCACAACGCGCTTTGTTGGTCTAACGGTGTCCAAAGCGCACAAACAAAGCCGTTTCTTTATTTTCTTCCTACACCTCGACATTTCTTGCATTCAGCTCCTGACAGAGGGACAATGCGGCTCAAGCGGATGCTCATCGTTCAGAGTGGGCTCAGCCATTCTATAAGTGCATGTTCCCCGGCTCCCTCAGTGCACATACAGTTGAAATGCCCTGGATAAAGCAACAGAATGCCCTGTCAACTCTGCGCTAATTGCATTCGACGTGACTGCGGCTCAAATTGCCTACAAAACATGGAAGAGACACAGCGCGTAGACCGCAATTCACACTTCACTGTAGCACGTCCTACCACAGAGTAAAATCCACCCGGAGCGCAGAGGCAGGAACCGCAATAAACTCTCAGAGCAGTCCCCCAAAGCGTCTTTTCCTCCTCGGCTTCAGCGCAGAGAACTGGACACGGTGGACCTCCGGCGCTCAATGAGCGCAGCTCAGACGGCTGTCAGGTTGACGTTGGAAGGCAACCCACTACTTCCTGTTACATCACACTGTAGGCTACAGCTGAGGACCTGCGATCTGTGGCGAGCTCGGCACAGTGCAGGATGATGTGCTACTTTCACTCCTACACGCTAATGCAGGCGTGTATCCACAGTTTGTGTTATCAAAGAGTGTTTTTGCTCACGGGCACTTCACCGGGGAAACTGTTTTGTGCATTCTGAGTGATCTTTTCGTTCCAAGCCTGCAGAAACAATGAAATGGATCATTTTAAACACGGGGACATTTAAAGCATACGTCTAAGCCTCCATTTTTGTTAATTTTCTTCCTTTATGGCTGGGTTAAGACATCGGCTTATATTTTATTTTACTTCTACCCGTGATCTATAATTGTGCATTCATACATTTCTTATAAATTGATTCTTCGTTATTTGGTGGATGGGTCATTACTGATCACACACAGGTAAAAGCACTTTTTGTAGCTTTTGAATCCCTTTTGCTTCTCTGACCTTCTCTGTTTCAAACCAGCTGCAGTTTCAAACCAAACTGCTGCTATGAAAGTACTGGATGCTTTCTAAAGCCATAAACATATATGCACCGATAAAATGAGTCTACTGCCAGGGGAATGTGTTTTCTTGACAGGCCACATATATACATCGACACTTTCTAGTAAAGTAAGATACAGACAAACATTATTCCACTGTGGGATCTGACATATGATGAGGATTTATTGTATTATAAGCTAGAAATACAGGTAAAAACATAATCTCATTAGCATTTACTTATGTGTTTCTGTAGGAGGCTGCATTTTCTGTAAACTATAAGGAATTGCTCTGTGAGATTATGATTTGAACACGGTGTCAAAGTGGATTTACACACTCAGAATTCAGTTGATATTGAGTGATTTCAGCCACAACGAGGATTACCGCCAGCTGGTAAAGCACACAAACAGAGGCGTAACAGACTGAAGGAAATATCTGAACCCTTGATCCTGCACTGATGGGATGTTGTGTCTCTGTTATGCTGTTGGACTCACTTAGCTAGCATGATTTGGATCCACTTTTCATTTTAGAGGAAAAAGACTTACAAAGTTCTTGCACCACTCTTATATTTCTATTGTAGATGAGAGCGATATATTCCAGCAGCTTACCAGCTAACTATTAAACGATGATTGTGTATGGGTTCAAGAGTGTTTCTTCACTCAAAACAGGAGAAAGTTCCATCCTATAAAACTAGAACTATATCAGGTGATACGTCTCAGTGGGTTTGTCAGTATAGAGAATGTCTTTCACATGAGATGCATTGATTTGACATTCTGAAATTATTGTCTTGTGCAGCTTTATGAAAGCATTTTCTACAGACTTGAATAAAAATAGCGTAATAAAGTAATCAATAACAAAACAGAGATCAAGTCTTGAAAATTACCCAGATTCCACTGAAAATATGCAGGCTGTGGATTCTGCACTAGCCTACAACAGAGGTAACCTAGAAGGATGCTTAAAAAAATTCACCCCCACCCTGCACAACAATAACGGACTGTTGTGCAGGGTGTAAATTGTCAGCTTTATGTTGTTATAAAGCTGATAGTTCAGTTGACAATTCTTGCAACTCTACACGATTTCTGTTGTCTTATTTAGAGTTCTGAAGGCCATTTTGCTATTCTTTGTTTTCCAGTGTAAAACTCTGGACTTGTCACTCAAACTAAAAGAGATGGAAAGAGAGTAAATAAACACGAAACACAATAGGATTGTTGAAATGTATTATATAAACTTTCAGTCCCATCCATTACAGCCATGTACAGTAAACAGCACTGTTCGTCTGCTGCTCACAAACGTCTTTCTTTACACAACACTGCCCCCTTCTGGCTTTTCTTACCAACAACATTCCAAAGCTTGAAAACATTGATTTAAAGTCATAAAAAAAATCAACAACAAACAACAATACAGTCATTATCCTGTTCACAATGATTTACAGCTGTGATGGTTTCTTGATTGTGGAGTTGCTTAAAAAAAATTCAATTCTGGACGAAGAATTGTGCACAACTTTAATGCTGCCGTTCACACTGAAGAGAAACTATGCCAATACCACAGTAGAATAGCATCAGCTGCTGTACATACACAGTAAATATGCATTAGATGTATTCCCATTAAGGCTATAGTGAGAAGTTTATATCGAAACGATAATATCTGATCGTAAAAATAGAAAGACATAAAATATGTATACATATAATAACTGCAGTGCAAAGCATTAGTGCCCAGAGCATAAACATCAGCCAAACAAATGTTTTTTGTCAATAAGCGATAGAAACAATGCGAATAACAAGTTTAATTCATTAAAAATCAAATTTATGTAATTAAAAAATCATTTTTACACAAGATCTGTTATCCCAAGCCAAGTGTGCTACAGAAGAATATGAGATGCTGCCTGACGTACAACGACACCAACAGAGAGCACCGTCCTCAGCAGCACGGTGTAGCAATTATTTCAAAGTCTGCTTGTACGATGTTATATTTTTTTCCATAAATTCTGATGTAAATCGAAAACACGACTATCCTGCTGCGATATCAAAGCTCATCTGTCTCTGTATGTCACTCAGGCTGTTGCTAAGGTCATAAATTTTAATGTTTTGTAATGAAAGGCAGAAATATTATTCTTTGATACTATGCTTGCCCTTTTCTGAGCAAGTTATTATTGAAAAGACATAAAGACATGATCATCATGTATACGCGATAGCTGTTCAGTATATGTTTCATTCATGTATGGCAGCTCTTTATTAAAGGTCATGGCAGCAGCAGTCTGAGCGGCAAAGGGACGCACACAGACAAGCAAACAGGACAAGGCTCTTTATGATATTTCTCAGTGGCTAACTCTGTTTTTATGAAGCTTTTTTCTTTTCAAAAAATAAATCCTCTGAAATGTCTGCCCTCATTTGTTTCTTTTCAGGGTCCAATCATTATTCTTCACCTTCATCTAGGACGAAAGGACGTCATCCCTCTTTGGTGTCACTTTTAGCTTCATTTGTCACACTTTTTCCTTCAAAAAGTGACCCCCCCCCCTTATTTCAAAATGTGTTTCATTTCAGTAAGAAAGAGCCAATCTGTGACATTCCTCTTGTTGATATCCTTGCTTCTCCATCTCCAGCTTCTCCTCTAGTTCCATTACAACATATTGTAATCTACTCCTGCTCCTCCCCATGTCCACCAGTGTGGGTTGTCCTTGAGCTTGATCCAAATTCTCTATCAGCGTCATCATCATCTGCTTATTCTCCTCTACCGCCACCAGTATCTAGACCACAGGGGGATCCCGCAGTCTTTTCTTCTAACGATCTCAGTTAATGAACATCATTTAGATGCAGATTCTAAACAATGACTCCAAACTGCACAGTGCAGCACAGCATTACTTTCATGTGTCTGACCAAAAATAAAATTAACAGAGTTTTTAAATGACAAAGCTCAAATTATTCCTGAGATGAATAAACATGTTTCAACAAGTCAAGAAAATCATATTGCTATAAACACAGAGGCAGACCAATGATGTCAAGGGGTTGTGGCAGACTTGGCTGCAGAGCAGAAAAAAAAACATGCATAAAGCTAAAAAAAAAAAAGCCCAAACAAAACATATATTGGCATAAATACAGCTGACAGCAGAGTAGAATCTCACGCAGAGTCGAGTGTTCTTCTTGAGTAATTAAGAATGTTGTGTAAGTTTTTCCTCCTTACTCGGATCATCATCCTCTTCCCATGACCTGCAACATAAACCACAAAATGTCTTCATATTAGATTTTTAAAATGGAATAATTAAAGACAACAAATGAAAAAGAAATTAACTGAATGAGCATGCCATGGTACGCCAAACTTTGGAACTGATCAGTTCCAGATTGTCCTGTCTTCCTTGGGTCATCCTGGGTCTTAACCTGGTTCTGCTTGAGGTTTCTTCCTGTTAAAGGGGAGGTTTTCCTTCCCACTGTCACCAAGTACTTGCTCATAGGAGGATGTTTGATTGTTGGGGGTTTTCTTTGTATTATTGTAGGTTTATTACCAACATAAGTGCCTTCAGGTGACTGCTGTTGTGATTTGGCAGTATATAAATCAACTAAACTGAACAGAATTGGATTAAAGTGAATCTCTTAAAATAATCCTACCCTTTCTGATGCATTTGTGGAAGCAGTGTCTCCGGGTTATGAAGTTGTTTTCATTCCCTCCACAGCCGCTGTAGGAAAATGACTGGCATCGCTTTTTTTCTGGAATGTATGCATATCTGCTCTCTGAACCACTACATGTCCCCTTGTCCACAGGTCTGAAGCACAGCTCTGAAAGAGTGAAGTCTGTTAATCACAAGAAACAGCAAACAGCCAACTTTATTTCATTTCATCCTTAAAATGTTACATAATTCTTTGATTAAATTAGATCTATGTTAGTTTTATTAGAGAGCTAAGACATAAGCTGAAGATACCACAAGCCTGAAGGTGAGGAAGATGAATGATTCCTGTTTGTGTACTGTTGCATTAGGCTTCATCCACCTGAAACTGATTTTGACCGGCATATTCAGGCTGAGTCTTGGAGTAACAGATTCTGAGAGTGGAAGTTGCTGTGTAAGCCATCCTCTTTGTTTTTTTCTGTAGTTTTCTGCTGGGTGAGAGTAGGGCCATATTCCATATTCTGACTGGAGACCCATGAGCAATGACTCTTTTTCACTACTGATGCACACTTATTTTCACTGACAAACAGTGACCTTAACAGTTCAGCATTTATCTCAGTATTTAACTTGCTAGGCTCAGCTAAGGTCACCAAAAATAATGTCACACTGCAGAGAAATCCAGGATCAACAACAAAAAGTGATTTTGTTCAGGGTGAAACTACATCGCAAATGAACAAAGCCCAAAATCTGAAATTAAACCGCAGAAGCACAAGAGAGCACAGGAGGGCTTGCAGGAAACAATGACAAAAGACGATAGGACAATATATACACAGGGGCAGGACTATTTATACACACACAGGTGGGGAACAAGGCATAGGTGACACAGTTAACACAGGTGAGAATCCAGGGTCAGGTAAGACAAAAATTAAAATGATCTCAGCGTACAATAATAACCTTTAAACCTCAAAGACCTATCCTAAACACAGAGATGAGACTCACATTATGCATGAAGATGGATATAGGAGAACACTACAGGACAAAGGAATAAACAGAAAGACAAGATAGAGGATAAGAATGGCCTGGAATTGCTTACACCGAGAGAATTAAACATACGAAAAAGCAATAATTCTATACAATAAATAATAATAATCAGAGCTAATACTCAAAAATGACTCATTTGATAAAGAAATCAGCCTAACAATAAGAACTTCTGACACTGGGTCTGAAACCCAAACTCAGATATACTGGCTAGGAATTCAAACCCCTAAATCACCACAAAGCCTCAGTCTTTTAGGCAAACAGTTAATATATAAGAATTATTCCACCACTGTGTTAAACTTCCAAACATAATATAGTATGACAAGTTCTCACACATAAATAGATCATGTTGGTAGAACCAGGTCAGGGCATTGTTCATATTGTCCTTTCTCACATGTAGGACACAAAAGATGCTCCTGGGAGTGTGCAAAACACAGCACAAATGACACCCCCGCACTGCCTATGAATCCGTTATCTGCAACAATATGTCCAGATGGGCACAAACACACATCACACAGACTTTGTATTCTGGAGCTGGCAGATTAAAGCTCATTTAAGCTCCCATCAGACCGACTTTTGAGTTCTCATACACAGCTGTGAGGTGCCCAAAGTGTTGTTTCATGCCAGTCATGCCACTGTTTGCATTGCAAATTCTCTTTGATAAAAATAATTAATTAGATAATTCAGTGAGTTCTACAGCTGCTTTTTATAAACATGCTTTGCTGGAAAAACTGTGGTCTTCTGTTACTTGTCATGTCCCGTGTTACAAAAACAGAGAAACTATAACTAGTCACAGCACATAACTGGGTGCAGGCAACCTGGCAAATATATAAAGGGTTTTCATGATGCTATTGTGTTTTATTTTATTTAGCTAAATTTCAAGTTTATATTCCCTTTTTTATTATTGTTATTGATGAGATGATTTTAATGACTTTCTGGGCGGAGGAGCTGCCCAGAACTGTTTCATGCCTGAAAAAGTCTGAGATCCACAGAGCCAAAGTGTGTGCTTCACTGAGCAGCCACAAGATGTCAGTCTTTGATTTGATTTCTTTGATTTCAACATGGCAACATCTGCTTGGCAGACAGACGTCAGCATGCACACCACGTTCTCTCATGCTCATTTCTGGCTTTTGTAACTTTGAGAGTCAAACTCGGTTCATCGTAGTAGTGAACTGTGACATCAAATATCACCAAAACCTATTTTCTAAATCTGTCTTTTAAAGACCTGATTAATGAATTGAAATCAACATTCATACCAACTTTACTTCTCAGAGACACTTTATTACATCAACGAGTTCTTTGGGTTTTTTGTTTTGTTTTTTTTAATCAAAGAATTACCCTCAAAAAGAAAAAGATTGATTCCATGGTGGAACTACAGAGGCTAACTTATCCTGAATCTCTTCTACTCAATATTTTTGACAACAGTGAAATTGAATTCTTAGAATTATAACTCTTTGAATGAGTTGAGGGCGATGGGAGACGAGCCAGGGTCTCCCAGTTCTTTCCTGCAAGCTGTACAAAACAGCCTTTCAACAGGACAGCTGTGATTTATGCTCCCACACTGCGAATACACCGAAAATTAGTGAGTGGGAAAGTAACAAACGAGTTGTGGGAAGAGGACACTGATGCACTCCGTTTCTGCCCTTTGCTTTTCACAACAAAAGCAATTCTGCAAGCTGTCTACCATCTATGCATCACTGCACCTTGACAATTTCTTTTCTTCTTTTTATAACAAAAAAGTTTTTGGCAGCACAAACTGCTCTAGTTAATAAATGGCTTGGAATTGCTTACTTTCAGGTCTGAGCATATTTCAGAATTTAACAATGACTGAGGACAAGATGAGTGATTTAATCATGCCTTGTGACCATTAATCTATCCCACATGTCTAATACTCTGTGTAATAAATGAAAACTACGTGTACTGCTTCTAGCTTTGTGCTTCATTGTCTGACTGTATCTTAGTCGCAGAGCTTTTCACAGTTTTCTCACTGATCAAGTTTACTTCATCAATCAGCTACACAGCCGGCTGATTTTATTGATATCACATTCTTGACTCGTGTTACTTTGCTTTATGAGACTAACATTGAGTGAAATCCTGGCTGTTCTCAGAAATGTAGCCTCTGTGTTTATGGAGTTATGAAGAATAGTAACCTAACAACCAATTTGCATGAATAAAATCAAATTAGCCTTAATTCTAAATGCTACATCCAAGATTTCTCATTGAGTTCTCCTTGAAAATGTGGAATTTTCTTACCGTTTGTCTCTGGATTTGTGTCATTCCCTTGCACCAACGGTGCATTTGCAATTTGTTCCCCTGCAATTTGTTCCCCTGAAATGCAACAATATGGGAAGCCATCAATCAGTCAGTGAATAAATTTGCTTCCTTTGTCAGACTCAGTTGTGATCATTAATGCAAATTTTGCACCTGTGCATAAAACAGAGAATTGCGACAGGAAAGTGATTACATAAAGACTGGAATTAGTCTTTATGAAATTAAAAAATTGGTACTCTAAAGCTTTAATTAACTAATGACATGCATATGTAACTACTTATTACTAAATAGCAATTTGTCCATCTGTGCAGTATTTACTGATTTTTGGACATGTTGTTTCCTTCTGCTTCCAGTCATGCCAACATAGGCTGAATGCCTCCATCAATCGCCCATCTCATTCTGGTTTTTACTGTTTTCTTTTTTCTTTTTTTTAATCCCAGTTGCAAGGGGAATGATGCCATCAGTAATAATTATATTTATCAGTTACTTAAGACACAGAATATTACAGAGAAAGGCAATGTTGAGATGGTTTGAATATATGCGCAGGTGGGAGATAGTGGATATACTGAAGTTGCCAGGCAGGAGGAGAAGAGGAAGACCACAAAGAGGATTCAAGGATGTGGTAAAGGAGGACATGCAGAAGGCTGGTGTGGCAGAGGAGGATGCTAGGGATAGGGTGAGATGGAGGAAGATGACCTGATGTGATGACACTAAAAGGGAACAGGTGAAAGAAGAAGAAGATAGGCAGAGTGCAGTGTACAGTCATCGTTACCAGTCTCGATGATTGGCTGAACATCGTCTTTTCTTGGAGAAGGAGATTCTGGTGCTGTGGTAGGGTTCACCATATTGACACGGACAAAAGAGAAAAGCAACATCTGAGAACATGTGTCTCGACTTCCATCCACAGAACATCAGTCCTGCTGTATTTATCTCGAAAAGTTGATTCTGTTCATCTGGACATGATGTTTCTCCTCCTGAAAACGCTACATCCAGATGAACAGAATCAACCTTTGGGGATTTTTTTTTACCTGGATGTTTGAGCATCAAGACCTACTATAGTTGGAACAAATTTAATTACACTGAACAAAAATATAAACGCAACACTTTTGTTTTTGCTCCCATTCCCCATGGGATGGACGTAGAGACGTAAAATTCATTCCAGATACACAATATAACCATCCCTCCCAAACAGTGGTCACAAATCAGTCCAAATGTGTGGTAGTGGGCACATCTGCTATATTGAGATAATCCATCCCACCTCACAGGTGTGTCACATCAGGATGCTGATCTGACATCATGAGTAGTGCACAGGTGTACCTCAGACTGCCCACAACAAAAGGCCACCCTGGAATGTGCAGTTTTGTCTCACAGCAAAATGCCACAGATGCCACAAGCAATGAGGGAGCGTGCAATTGGCATGCTGACAGCAGGAATGTCAACCAGATCTGTCGCCCGTGCATTGAATGTTCATTTCTCAACCATAAGCCGTCTCCACAGGCGTTTCAGAAAATATGGCAGCACATCCAACCGGCCTCACAACCGCAGACCTCGTGTAACCACACCAGCCCAGGACCTCCACATCCAGCAGGTTCACCTCCAAGATCGTCTGAGACCAGCCACCCAGACAGCTGCTGGAACAATTGGTTTGCACAACCAAACAATTTCTGCACAGACTGTCAGAAACCGTCTCAGGGACGCTCAACTGCATGCCCGTCGTCCTCATCGGGGTCTTGACCTGACTCCAGCTCGTCGCCGTAACAGACTTGTGTGGGCAAATGCTCACATTCGATGGCGTCTGGCACGTTGGAGAGGTGTGCGCTTCACGGATGAATCATGGTTCACATTGTTCAGGGCAGATGGCAGCTGAGAATGTCCCAGTTCTTGCATGGCCAGCATACTCACCGGACATGTCACCCATTGAGCATGTTCGGGATGTGCTTGACCGGCGTATACGACAGCGTGTACCAGTTCCCACGAATATCCAACAACCTCGCACAGCCATTGAAGTGGAGTGGACCAACATTCCACAGGCCACAATTGACAATCTGATAGACTCCATGCGACGATGTGTTGCACTGCATGAGGCAAATGGTGGTCACACCAGATACTGACCGGTTCTGGGTCCCCAGACCCCCAATAGTGCAAAAAACTGCACATTCCAGGGTGGCCTTTTGTTGTGGGCAGTCTGAGGTACACCTGTGCACTACTCATGATGTCAGATCAGCATCCTGATGTGGCACACCTGTGAGGTGGGATGGATTATCTCAATATAGCAGATGTGCCCACTACCACACATTTGGACTGATTTGTGACCACTGTTTGGGAGGGATGGTTATATTGTGTATCTGGAATGAATTTTACGTCTCTACGTCCATCCCATGGGGAATGGGAGCAAAAACAAAAGTGTTGCGTTTATATTTTTGTTCAGTGTATATCCCCCTGATCAATCATAATTAAAGCACGTTTAATTACATTAGCATCAGCTGGGAAAAGGTGTTGTTTTGCAAACATTTTGTCTATAAATGAAACTAAACATTCGTCTGTGTGGAATTAAAATCGATTCTCTCTACAACATGGTCTTTTGGCAGAACTGGTCACAGCCGAGCGACTTGCTCGTTATTTTCCTCAAAATTTCAATATTTAAACGACTTATGCCTAAAGTCTGGTATAATTGAGTATGCTTTGGTCACTTTAAAACCATTTAAATGCTAAATCAAGGTGGAATGTGATTTCACGGTCAGCTAAAAGTCATCACAAAGTTAATTTTCAGAGGTAGAATTATTTTGATTATGTCACCTCACTGAAATGGGTTTTCTGTTGATGCACAGCAACTGGCCATGTTTCCAATAAAAGAAAGCTATTGTGTGTAAAATATACACAAAATCCAAATGATTTACAAGTTATTCAAACCATGTGTTTAATCAAAATCAGTACAAAGACAACATATAACATGCTTAAAATAACGTGCTGATATACAATTTGATGCCAGCGGAACCTTTCAAAAGAAAATGATTGATAAAGTAAGCAAAGAAAATAAAGGATTCTCCACTCTGTGAGGGAGAAAAAATAATGTTTCTTTACATGCAATTTTACAGATTCTAACATTATGAAAAGATTAGAGAACTCTCTGTATACAGAGGATAAAGACCATTAAGCTGTAATGAAAGGCTGTGATCTTTGGGTCCTCATGTAGGACTTCATCAAAAGCAGATATGACTATGGAAGAAATCAGAGAACGCTTCAAAACAACAGTCAGTGAACTGCATTAGTGAATGCAAGTGCATCCCTACCTGGATTTAGACACTTTGCCTGACACTCAGCCATGGTCCTGAAATTGTTGGCATTGCCAAAACATCCTCCATAATAGAACTGCTTGCACTCCTGACTCGAGCTGTCAAAGAAGAAGCGTGACACGAGCCCTCGACAGGGACCGGGAGCCTGGGGTAAATGACATGGGTTCTTCTTATCTAAGAAAGTAAAAGAGGGAAGAGTTACAATAAATTCTCTTGAAACGTGTAATTATTAATTTGCTGCTAAATAGTAATAATAATAGCATATGACTTTAATATGTCGTATGATAGGGTGAGGCAAGGTGTCACAGAGGTTTCACCCAAACCCTCTGGTGTAACGACATACACCTTTTTTCACACCTTGGATCATGTGACAGCACACATGATTAATAGTAGGTCAGCAACCGCCTCTCGACGGACAAACCCCACTAGGGTTTAAATACGTGAGACACCTTTTTTTTTCAAGCTCTTAAAAATGGTTTTGGACATTTCAGTTCATTTTCTGAGTCATGAAAGTCCATAGTTTTGTTCCATATTTGACTCCTATCTGAAATATAAAATGCATGACAATGAAACTTCATTCGTTCATTCTTCATTAAAGAAAGTCCCAAAGAAGAGCCAAACTGTGTTCAGTATTCCACAACATATAGAGCCACCATCACTTTGTTTGGTAGGATCAATGGTACTTCACTTTCTTTCATTTTTATTCAGAACATAAAGCTTCAATGACTCTGAAATTGATTTCCTTAAAAAAAAAAAAAAAAAAAAAAAAAAAAAAAGCCAACTGAAACTAAAAAGAAACACAATTAACTTTGCTGCTTCAGTTGGGTTTTCATTTGCTATGAATGTAGTTTAACTGAGTGGCAAATTATTTTCAAAAGTATGCAATACCATCCGATAAAGCCAGTGATGGCTTTTTCCTTATATGCGTACGAAGCAATGCCTTGAGCAGAAAGGTTCAGTGCTATCCAATTAAACATGTCTTTATGAGAATTGCCAAACAGAAAAAAGGAGCAGGCACAACACCAAAGACACAGGGAGGGAAGATAAACCTATTCAAAACAGTACGTGGTACAAGGTGCAGTAAATTGACTGCATGCCATGAAGCACTTTGCAATCACCGGGCAGTCTGTCCCACTTTTTGCCTCCCCAGTGGTACAGTGACATTTCTTCTCCAGTCAAGTTTCAGATACAATCCAACAGAAGGCAAAGAGTCAACATTTCCAGCAAGAACTTCCTTATGTTCCCTTGTCCCTGGTGACCCACATTCCCTCCTCCTGCCAAGGCTCTGCTTTCTTTTCTATCATATCTTTTCTACTTCTTACTTCAGCTCTACCCTTCTCCACTTTTTGTTGCGTATAATATCACCCTCGAGTGTCGGAGTACTGAGCCCAGGGTCTTACACCTCTGAGCTACAGTTAGATGCTCATCTAAATTCTGAATCTGCTCCGGTGTGTCTTTTTTTACTCACAGTATCTCAGATTTGTTTTATGCTTTATGCCTTTAACTGAAAGCTTATTACTCGGTAATCCAGCTAAGGATGATTATGCATGCACTCAGCAGTCACCATGTCTTTAATCTGAAATTCCCAACATCTGCAGTATGGACCACTGCAGAGATGGGAGGATGTGGGAACCCTGCTGATTAACTGAATGAGCCGTCACAAAACTTCAAATCATTACAAGCAACAGACTAAAGCTTGATTTCAGTCTGAAATCCAATCATGGCTATACTATGAAATGCACTGCTTGCATTAGACAGGCATTGTCAACTAATACAGGTGCAACTCGACAAGCTGTCAATATACTGATCAGCGTGGCTCTTCACAGAGTAGAACATGTGCCTCTAAGCCCCCTCAGTCATTCAGTCCATGACACACAGTGTGTGTGTGTGTGATTCACTTATCAAAATACTTCTGCAATTACATCAAATTGTAATGGGATCCTCTAAATGCCTGTCGTGGTGCAAAAGCATAATCATCAAAGTGTAATCATTATCTTTATCCTCACATCTAAAATGACACTTGTGGTGCATTTTATTCAATGAATATTTATTCCAAAGATTGTTAAGGCAGTGAAAGAAATTAAGTAAACATCTTAAGCCTCACATCAGTGGATTGATAAGTGCAAACATCTGCTGTCATCAAACCCACAAATTATTGTTTTACATTCTAGTGGAGATCTCACAGTCTCCAAAAACATACTTAATATGCCAGACTAATTTTCTGAGTAAATTATGCACAAAACAGTCAAATGTGTTCATTACATGGACCGGTGAAGACACTGTTTGAATGTTACTTTAGTCACACACTAGGATGTTCAGATCAGATTTTGTGTTCGTGTTACTTGAATAACAACACGACAACCTGGAGAAGGATTTTAATAGGTTAGAATATGTGAAAAGCAAACTATATTATATTGTTATTAACTTTAAAAAAACCCTGTGCAAAGCTTATCCAAAAGCAGAAATGTAACTGCACTGTCTAAAGAATGGACAAAAAAAATGACATGTTTCAGCAAAAGATTGTAAACAAATTTGATCGTGGCACTTTCATTTCAGTTAGTAAACCTCAATTACAAAAACAAGTCGATCCAATCTCTAAGAATTTACATCAAACTGTTTTTTCCAGTACGTTTGGTGCAATCTGGGAACCATCAGCCTGCCTGCTTCCTGTGAGTCTAGTAGATAACCAGGCAAGATTTTATCCATGTATGCAGAGACATGTTTGTTTGTTTTAATAATGAAGTTGCAATGATGAACTGCATCAAGGTGGTCTGAGTGGATGGTGGTCACTCAGCTCACAATACCAATCTATGGTTCAGGTTAGGCAACGAAAACACTTTGGAGACTGAAGAAGTCTCTTAGACGAGAAACGTTTTTCCCACGCTACGTCCAGATGAACAGAATCAACTTTGGCTAAGGTTACGAACGGACTGTGGTTTTAAACAAAAGTAAATAACACTTTGTTTCTCAAGTAACGTGAGCATTGTTTGTTTCTCCTCTGGTCTTTCCCTGACCTTAACCAAGCACCCTGATGACCAATCCATAAAGTTATCAGCAGTTATATCGGTGGAAGCACGCCATGTCATCAGCACACTACTGATCCATTAGTATTCAGCTGTATGCTTATAAATGTTTACTTCAAGTGATATTTTAGCTGCGTGGAAACATAATTGCACAGATAAAGTAAAACACACAGTCTGAGCTTAAAAACTTCAGCACTCTTTGAAATAGCTCATCAACAGTTAAATGGACAGACTGAACCATCACTGGTTTCCATCAAGACTGCGACAATTAGCCGCCCAGAGAGTGTGATTTACTGGCTAACAAGCCAAGAAAACACAAAATCAATCACTCTTGTTCGAAGCCAAATGAGAATTCTGCTGGGACTTCTGACCTGTGCGTAAATAAATGCTGCTACCTGTCTAAAGTCACTGTGGTCAAGCATCTGAGGACTAATATGGTTGCCAAGTGATATCTTAAAGCCGCACACTGTCTGTTCGGTTTATCTGTTAAGTCTTTGAATAATCACTCTCCACTGAAGGCTGACTGTGATTAAAAAGCTATCATTGTAACATCTAAATACATTTCATGAGGTGACTTTGACTTAAAAGCTTGGGCAAAGAGTTGTGCCAAAGGGCCAGGCTTGCGTACTCACCAGAGCAAAGCGGCGATGAATAATTCAAATGCACAATTCTCTATTAAAGCCGTGAAGGTGGCAGAGATGATTTGTGTTTTGAGAATTATCGGTCAGCTTTTTATTTTTATTTTTTTTCTCAAATACTGGGTATGAATCATACAGAGCATCCCATCATTCAGCAAAGCACACTTTAATATTTAAGATAGCCGTGAAAGATTCTGAGGGCTGAGCTGGATTACGTGTGGAGAAAAAAAAGAAAAACATGTATGTTTTCATATTTTGCCTAAATGTTATCTGCAGAACGAGGAGACAGATGAGATTTTGGAACAATGTACAATGACTCTTTTGATGGGACGAGCTGAATATTTAGACTACCTTTCAGATCAGCCCATCGCTTCTTTATCTCTTCGCTTGCTCATTTACTTTCTTTCTGCTTCTTCCTTCATATTTTTTTTGTCAGTACACGTCACCGTATTTTGAAAGGTCTTTATTGTGCTTACACATTCTCAGTGAAGCCTCATGTGGAAAGAAAAGACAGCTGATCTGTAATGGAAGAGTAAATAAAGAAAAATAAACAAACTCAGGGTGGAAAAATAATTGAAGCCTGTGAATTCCAGTTGATAATGACAGACACAGATCTCAACAGCAACTTTTTCATTTAATATATATTGCGATATGCTTCTGATTAAATTGTCATTATGCTATTTTTGTGATTGAAAAGTAATAAATAAATGCAGCTTCCAGCCTATAAGCACTGATAAAGGTCAGCACTTGCAGGCTGAGCTGCGAGGAGAAGAAAATTATATGAGTGTCTGTCTTATCTCAGCAGAAAAAAAGAATGTCAAAAAACTCAATAATTGGAAGGCCCGAATTACTTTCTAAAATTGCACATGCCTGTTAGTTAAGCAAGAATGCAACTAATTATTATTGAAAACATTTTCTTTTCATTAGCAATTCATCTGCCAGTGACTCAGGCCGACCGACTCAGTGAACAGTGGAAAGGCTCATAACAGTTTCCCATAAGACTAAATGGATGGATTTCAGTGGGGAATTTCCCTCACCAACTGTAGGGCTGCTTCAATATATTAATTCACTGGTATAAAGAAATTAAATAAGAAGCTCTAACTAGAAATTGTTTGGCATTTTTGCTTACTGCATATGTTTTATTTTCCTTAACTCCACATTGAAGCTTCTAATTGAAACATACGAAACCCAAATTAGATGGGAACTAATCACAGTCATGCTCATCGTTGTGGTTACTGGTTCATTGGAAACCCTTCAGATTAGGGAAAACAAAAGACTACTTGTAGAGGTACAGAATCAGAGCAGCTGATGTAACTCTAGTACATGAAACTGATATTACATACATCTATTGGGCCACCTAATTGGATGTGCTTTTGCATTTATGCTCCCACAACCTCACCTGTAGTCAGCCTGGAATCCAGAGCCACACCACTGTGCCAGCCTCTCTCTTCACATGGCGCTGTTGCCTCCTGTGAGATTCCTGACACCCCTCCCCCACCCATCACCTTCACTC